ATTCAAAAACCAATTAACTTGCGTACAGAAATGCATGCATTAAATGAAAAACTCAAATTTATAAAAACAGCATGCGTAAATACCCAATGAAGCATTTTCAGCATGCGTACAAAGGAACTAATTTCCGTAACACAATTACGAGCTAATTTACTTTCCGAGTCAAGCCTATATATTTAGAACAGTTACATACATCTAAAACATTATTTCATTTTTTTTAAATCTTAAAATGTTTACCAATTTTGCGAAAAACCCAATAGAGTGATGAATAGATGAATGAAAAAATATTGAAAAATGTAACAACTCAATTAACATGGAAACCCTAAACTCAATTGCTCAATCTGGAGCTCTGAGTGGGCAATTAATCTGACAATACCACAACCATTGTCAACCAATTCAAAGTCCTCCATTAGAACAGCATAACATGATGGTACACAAGTCACTTTACATGTAACCATCACCTTCTAGATGTTACACTGATAGGAAGTAAGATGGACGATTTGACCAGAGAGATAACACAATCTTCTTCCTTATCACTGGTACCATATTCGAGGTAATAAGAGCCACAGGCACTCAGATAATTGCTTATTAAAACAAGTTAACAGAAGTCAAATTTGTCAGAGAATGAGAGGTAGTAAACAAAATTAAGTCAAACGTCAATCAAATTATATAGAACGTTTTTCATAACAGTTACAGGGCAATTATGTACCCATTCTACCCTGCTGTTTTCTTTAAAAAAAACCAAACTTTAATATGCACAAGAAAATAAGGACTGTCATGTAAACGTTCCGTAGTAGTAGGATGCCCTTAGAAAGATAACTCACAGATTAGTCTAGAAGCTGGTCAGTGCTTTCTGGAGCAGGGTTCTTAATACACCGAATATGGTATACTGGTAGTCTACATCTATCATAACAGTGATTTACATTTGGCCTTGACCCTTGCTCATATTAGAAGGTTCAAAGATAAAACTGCTTGTCGAAGACTGTTATCATTAGCATTGGGTGACTATGTCATTATGTTTTGTACATTGTTTACTTTTGTTAATCTCATCACTTATCCGAATCCTGCTATCACCCTTGCGCTCATATCATGAAGAGAAGGATAAATCAAAAAGCCACTGTTCCTAACAGGGTTACTCATCACTGATAACACAGGCAAGCGCTCATTGTATCTCATGTCATGGCATTCAGGGCTAGTTATTCTAGGTTATGGTATATTGAGTAACAATCAATACAATGGCAAATAATATTCATGTCTTAACATGTATTATGGCTTTGTCCATCAATAGAACAGATGAAGACGACCAATAATACTGAGTTAGGCAGCCAATAGACTAAAAAGAAAACAAGAATTAGGTACTGAAATATCTTGACAGAATTTTAAAATGATTTACAGGTCACAATCACAAGCCATTTACTAACAATTTACATTAACCAGGTTTATAATTAAGGAGGGAATCTAAGGTCCTTTGAGGTCTTCTCCTGTGCTACCTATCTCTGAATCTAGTAACGATCCAATGCTATTACCTTCCTTGTAAAACTCTCCTAATGATGATGAGAAGCAACTTTGACATCTGGGATAATCCTGGAATGTACCTACACAATCAATGCTACAAATAATTATCTTGGCTTTGTTAAAGATTCATAACAATCCTCTCACATGGTGTGTTGAGTGCATGTCTCACGCAACAAGTGGACCAATGACAACAGCCTAGCAACAGCTAGCTGACAGAAGACAGTACTGGTCAATTTCCTGCCATAAATTTCAGACATGTATACAGAGTTTAACATCAAGGAATATAGTCAGTATGTCCTTGTCATAACCCAAATGCGATTAACTTATGACTTAGGGGGTCCCTAGATTCAAATACCATAGAACCTCGCAGACCCATGAAACCCTAAACTTTGAACACTGCATATCCATCTCACAATAATGACATATAAATGAACAAGAAGGTGTTTCCATCACAGACACACACAAAACAGCTGTAGCCCTGTTGCTTTCTCTTCCTATGGCAAAACACCTGGCCTCACTTCCTCGACACAGGGCAAGTCAAATCTAATTTTCATAAGCCACCGTTCAAATTCACATGCCAAAACATGTTATTCTAATTTCCCTTTCAGCCTTGCCAACTTATGATGAGGTTGCTGCAACCCCAACACAAACCGGAAGACTTGACTAGGCCCTGCCCATCCTTTAATGTCATGCAAGCCCCTCATAGACAGGAACAGCCTACAGGTATATACAACTAATGGCAACCACACTACACAGTTGATAACATTCATCTCATGTTCAAGGAGGATATTTTTTACACAATGTTAATTTCATTCAACATTGTTTTGAAGATATGACCTAGAACCTGGCCTTGACCTGTGATAAATGTGACAAGAAAGGTGAAAACAATTCTGCAAATTCTTGCAATACCAAACATATCCCTGAGCATGCTGAGGTGTCAAAACATTTTTGGGTTCAAAAAAGAAAACCTAATTTAGATTCTGAATGTTTTCTTTGAAGCACTTGAAATGACATGAAGGTGTGACAAATGATTTGGGCAAAATCATGCTTCTATTGGTAAGACAATGATATTCATGTAGATACATCACAAGCAGAAAGAAAGCTGATGATATAGCACAAAACTATTTCACCGAGTTGCTCCCTCTGGATGTTAGGGGTAGCCTAGTGGTTAAAGTGTTCGCCTGTCACACCAACGCCCAGGTTTTATTTCCCACATGGGTATAATGTGTGAAGCCCTTTTCTGGTGTCTCCAGTTGTGATATTGTTGGAATATTGCTTAAAGCGACGTAAAACCATACCCATTCACTCACTCTTGTAGTTAACAGCCTCTCTACAGAATATATATGTGTATGGTGAAAAGCATGTTACTTCTGATGAGGGTAGACAGCCTTTGAGAAGTCAAGCTGTACTAATCTAATACACATTCCTACTAAAAACCTCCCTGTATGCCATAACTGATAATATGATACTCACAGATGTCAACTTTAATCACTTTAATTAGTTAATGTAAGAATAACCTGAATAAGTGAATGGGTACATTTCTTCCCCCCCCCCCCCCCCCCCCCCCCCCCCCCCCCCCCCCCCCCCCCCCCCCCCCGTAACTATTGACCCCAAAACATCCAACCATAGCTGAAAGACAATCCTTGGCTTTACTCTTGTATTGGCATTTAAGACAAGAGCCCCTTTGTGGGTGAAATACTGAGCCCATATTAGAACAAAGAGCTCCTGACAGCAGGAGAATGACCAGACATTCCTACATTAATTCTACACTTAAAGAACCTATCTTGATAAACTCATAAATTCACCCTTACACCAGGATTACCCTCCTCATTGGCCACACCAGAATTCCTATGACATGTAGCAGGATGAACATGTTGAGTCATCAAATTTCCTGAAATCAGGTCGCCAGGTACAGTCAGCCAGCCGTAGCGAACATTTCTACACCATGGGTGAATGGTGCTTTCAGAAAGTGATTGTGTAGTGAAAAGATAGATCATTACAAATATGATAAACAAATATTTTCCCCTTACAGTGCCCCCGTACAACTTGCACTCTCAGTTTCTAGTGAGCCTAATGTCTTTACACATAGCTTCACAATCTTGACAGTGAATCAAAAGTACCAGTACTCTTTTAACTGAGTGATAAAACAAGTTAGAATTAATGTCAATACATACCAAAAAACGTCAATGTTGTCTTACCAAAGTCAGAAAAAATGCTATTCATTCGAGGCCTAATTTAGGGTGAATCGCTTAAGTGGTTATCCATTCCATTAAAAAGGAGTAAATTAATGGGCTTCCTGATGCAACCATAACCCATGATACTAGGATGAAGAACCCCATATTACAACGTTTTCCTTTTAATGCCCCAACTCAAACCCATGTGGTCTGCTAGCAGTTCTCCGGGGAACCAAGCTCTACTGACCCCATCCATCTCACCACAGACCACAAAATGTTAACCTCATTTGACTTAAGCTGTGTAGATAAAACAAGTCAGATTTCTGTGTACAAACAACGATAGCCATTTTTCAAACAAAGTTTTTTCTTCCTTGTAGTTAGACCAGAAAGTTTACAAAAGGGATGTCTTATTCATGAAAGTGACAAAATAATTGACAAAACTTTACAGCGAAGTTTGAAAGTAGGACAATAATGTCACTTATTTAACATGTGGATAATTTTATATCTATGTGAACGATTCCTGGGAATTGCAAATTTTATTGAATATTGAATAGGCCTAGGCCTAGATCTATGTGAGTTTATTTCAGTCTAAATTTGAATTCAACATTTAAAAGGAAGTAAGATAACAACATCAGTCACATGTAATCACTCGGAATATGGTCTCTGATGTGATGAAATGGAATTTGACTATTTTACATTTTTTAACTGCATATGTTTCTTTGTGGGAGTTAGGCTACATTGAACATATCTATCGTTTGTAGCATTCATTATTAATTAGGCCTATCTCCCGGTGAAAATCGATAAAAAAAGCGATAGCGAATGCATCACTTAAGTATTTTGATACTGTATATCTTCTTCAATGTTTATACATACATTATACCTACATACATAGTACACTCTATACGAAAGTTGAACTAGCTTCATGTCGTTCCCCACTTCGGCCTTGGGTGACACCGAGCCTAGTGCGCAAAACCGGTCGCAAAACCGGTCCGAACTTCACAGGTAAGAGAATTCGGTGACATTTTTATTTCTGATCATCATAATTGTTTAATTATATGCCAGAAGACAACAACGATACACATCTGTCATAATGTAGTCGCATTCAATTCATAACGGTACTTATATACAATAATACTGAGTTTGGGCACTTGTGACCCTCACGTATCGAGGGGACGCAAAATCGGAAATGAGTGCATAGCTACCCCTCCACTTGCACCTGTGAAATGTTAATTACAGGTGATATCAGGTCGATAGCAAATGGTTATTTCGAAACTGATTGATATGCTATGAGTGTAAATGTTTTTGTCTTCTTACCCCACTGAACAGTTCACATAACTCGCGCCGCTGTTCGGCTGTCAATCCCCTGCTATCCGCCATCTTGTCGCTTTACCAAAGCACAGGGTGGGACTCCAATCGTCACGTGATTTTGACTAAAACCGGAAAAGAGGCTCTCTATTGGTCAGTATCTGAAAATAGTTGAGTTCCAAATAAGGCAATATTTACTATACATTCACAACCTGGTTGTGAATCACGAAATCCAAGTGATACTAGCGTTTGTGTTATAAGCGAATTCTAAACGAATATTCTTAAAATTGATTATCCTTTCGACTCGGAAAGTAAATAAACGTGTGGACCAATATCGTGTCTGAATCTTCTCTCGATCTTGGCTTAGAAACATAACATGATAGATCTATATTTAATCAAAGACGTATATATACATCTATATATTTATACATACATCTTTGATTTAATGTATAATTTTGAGGATTTACAATTAAATAAGTATCATAACGTAAGGTTATAAAATCATCCAGCATATTCAGGTTCTCTTAAATCTACAACCTCTGGAAAATATAATTTAAACAAGGAAATATATTTGTTATCAAGAAAACGATAACTAAAGGTAAAATAAACGCGGATGTCATCAAATACTTTATATGCTGTTTTCACAAACCTTGATCGAAAAATACATCCACGTATATGAAAAATATTCACAATATCAATTCCCGTAACGATAACTTCATGTAAATCACACGTGTGGCCCAGCTGCGAGAGCGCTCCGGTCTGCCTCGCTAGCCTACTGAACTGTTTTGACTAAACTATGACCCAACTCACAGCAAGTCACGTGTTAGCGCTTAAGTATTTCCTGAAACCAAAGAATGCCCAAAATATGACTCGCTTGGACTGAATTTCAGCTGACTGGCTTCTCGACTCTTTCCCAACATAGAAATGCGTTGCATTGGCACCTAACTATATTTATTAAATTTAAATTTTAGAAAAAAATAAGGAGAAAACATTATACACCTATATACGCCTGTTTGAATAATTAAAACAACATCATATATATAATCAACATGTTTGTTATTCATAGTTATTCTCAGGGAGAATATTTTAAGTAATTCAAAAAATTAAAAAATCACACAATTCATTCTCACATATAAAAATCAAAACAGCGACCCGTGCAAAATGCAATACAACACAACTCACCTGGACAGAGTGTATTTATGCGCCGATCACCTGCATACACCTGTAATTAACAACTATTCCAACAGTATATTCCCAGGTGACATGAAATAGGTGTGATGTAATGCATTTATGAGCGGGGGTGATAAGATTATGTAACACGCGGAAGGCGATTATCCCCTAAAGCGCTCACTGGGTTGGGGGGATTAGTAAGTGGTATTCTCAATGGAAACCGGTTATGTTACTGTGTTTTAGAAGGAAAGTCATTTATTGCTACTAAATGTGCTGTAATGAGCAGTTCTTATAACGATAGGCATTGCTTGAATACCTCGTTATATTTCTATTATTTTCCAATATTTACAAATGCGCTTTGTTTGAATTAAACATATCCTCACGATGCCGTGTTGATGTTTGATATCAACAGGGCGTATATAGTTGTATAACGGTATATATACTACTAGTTATCATTAGGAAATGTTCATTTCTTAGTCGGAATCGCCACTAGATTATGTTAATGTGTTGGATTATTTGACAGGGGATCGACAATCTAATTCATGTAGCCTGACAAAAATATTGTTCTCCAGCTTATGAAAGATACATTTCCAAATGATATACACCAAATAGAATACGTTCCATGGTCGCAAACAAGCAATACTATCCCTATCCCCCACGATCCAGTGGATATTGTGAAAAATAAATAAATAAATAAATAAATAAATAAATAAAAAAATAAATAAAAAAATAAATAAAAAAATAAAAAAATAAATAAATAAATAAATAAATAAATATTTTGTTCGCAATTGAATTGTATGAATTAGTTGGTTAATCGGTGATGAATTCCACCACATACGTTTACGCATATGCATTATATATATAGTAGACCACGTGTGTTTGTATTTGTTTGTGGAGGCAGGGGGTAGTAATCAGCCATATACAAAGATATATTCTGTATGTGATCAGAAGTTAAACGCATCACGGTCGTGTATACGTGACCCACTCCTGCCATTCCGGGACAAGCCCTCTTGTAAGAGAGAGAGAGAGAGAAAGAGAGAGGGAGAGAGAGAGAGAGAGGGGGGGGGGGGGGGGGGGAGAGAGAGAGAGAAAGGGAGAGAGAGAGAGAGAGGATAATTGTGATCGATGGTACACGTATATTGTCGTAATGAAGCCCATTATTTTTTCACCCCAAAGTTAAACTATGATACTATGATTGCTATCTACAGATGGAGACTCACTTTGTTACGAAAATCAGCTGTTTATTTTTAAAAAAAGTATTTAAATTTTGAATAAGATTTCATACGGGATCTTTGGGGCACCCGGTGATGGAGTCCAGATGTTTTCGACTTGCTTCGTGAAAGGGCACGGTATAGTCACGCCGGAAAAAGCTACGGAACACATTCAACTGATTACAGCTAAATCCAAGAAGTGACTCATTCTCGAGATCGTGGCACTTCTAAAGACCGCTGCATGATTTTATGTATCGTGTTACGGAATGTGGCGAGGGTTGCCGAATGGGTAGGTCTTGGCTGACCATCTCTAATGTACACACGGCCGAGTGGCCGCGAGGGAGTGATCAAGTACCGTAGCCACTTAATCTGTGGACGCACTGACTGACAGCTGACCAGCGCGTTTTTCATGAACGCGTAATAAAGAAGAGAAAGAAATATTAGTTAAAGTGATTTTTTCCTCAGTCAGATCCATGATGTAAATACCCCACTGAAGGCCCCCAGTCAGTTCAAGGATCTGGAAGCCTCGGAAGTTCAAGGATCTAGACCCTCTTGACAGTTCAAGGATCTAGTGGCCCCAGTCAGTTCAAGGATCTAGACACTCTTGACAGTTCAAGGATCTAGTGACCCCAGTCAGTTCCAGGATCTAGACACTCGTGACAGTTCAAGGATCTAGTGACCCCAGTCACTTCCATGATCTAGACACCCATGACAGTTCAAGGATCTAGTGGCCCCAGTCAGTTCAAGGATCTAGACACTCGTGCCAGTTCAAGGATCTAAGGACCCCAGTCAGTTCCAGGATGTAGACACTCGTGACAGTTCAAGGATCTAGTGGCCCCAGTCAGTTCAGGGATCTAGACACTTTTGCCAGTTCAAGGATCTAGGGATCCCAATCAGTTCAAGGATCTAGACACACGCGACAGTTCAAGGATCTAGTGGCCCCAGTCAGTTCAAGGATCTAGACACTTGTGCCAGTTCAAGGATCTAGTGACCCCAGTAAGTTCAAGGATCTAGACACTCGTGACAGTTCAAGGATCTAGAGACCCCAGTCAGTTGAATGATCTAGACACTCGTGACAGTTGAAGGATCTAGTGACCCCAGTCAGTTCCAGGATCTAGACACTCGTGACAGTTGAAGGATCTAGTGACCCCAGTCAGTTCAAGGATCTAGACACTCGTGACTTTTCAAGGATCTAGTGACCCCAGTCAGTTCAAGGATCTAGACACACGTGACAGTTCAAGGATCTAGGGACCCCAGTCAGTTCAAGGATCTAGACACTCGTGACAGTTCAAGGATCTAGGGACCCCAGTCAGTTGAAGGATCTAGACACTCGTGACAGTTCAAGGATCTAGTGACCCAAGTCAGTTCCCGGATGTAGAAACCCCATGGCAGCCTGTTCAAAGGGTGACCGGAAGAAAAGTTACAGAAAATAAGTTACAGATTTGGGTATGGAAATAATTTACAGGAAAAACAGTTACAGACTCAAATTAATATATGGCTTTTATGACATTTTATTGGATAAACAATGTTTTATATACGTAGCATGATTCACAGTATTTAATTCAAAGTCTAATGTGGCTTGTGGAGTCTGATATACCATCCAACTCCTTGCCACAATTGTGTGCTACAGAATTTCATTCTTCAGCGATGTCCAGACAGACTACCTCTTCACCTTCTTGACAGGATGGGGGCACGGGTGGCCCAGTCGTCTAAGGCGCCGCGATTCGCTGTGCAGAGTTGCGTCCCTTGGGTACGCCAGAAACCTATGATTGTGGGTTCGAATCCCGCTTCGCCCCGATTATGTTTCTAGGTTTGTCAGCACCATACCCGTGCTCGTGGGTTTCACCGAAGTGGTAAACGTCTGAGACCTGCATCACTTCGGGCTTTCCTCCCACCTGAAGCTGACACGCCGTGATATAACTGTAATACTGTTAAAAGCGGCGTAAAACCCAACTCACACTTGACAGGAGGACTGCCGATGGCGTCTTGTGTTTGGACAAAATCATGAGGACATTTTCTTCCTGAAACAATCCGATGGTTCTGCACACGGTGGGATGGTGGTGGCAAAACACAAATGTTATTCCACCCTTCACAAAAGTTGTCAGTTTGCGGATCACTGGCAAGGGTGCATCGTGGACATTCCATAGACCACATTGTCCCTAAAGTCACATAAAGTCACATGAAGTCATATATACCCTGACCAATGACGACTCCGGGGTAGAACAGGTCTTCAGCAACCAATGCTTGCCGTAAAAGGTGACTATGCTTGTCGTAAAAGGCGACTAATGGGATCGGGTGGTCAGGCTCGCTGACTTGGTTGATGCATGTCATCGATCCCAATTGCGTGGGTCGATGCTCATGATATTAATCACTGGATTGTCTGGTCCAGACTCGATTAGACCGCCTCCGTGGTCTTGTGGTAGAGCGTCCGCCCGGAGAGCGGAAGGTCCAGGGTTCGATCCCGGGGCCGCGTCATACAAAAAGACGTTAAAAGATTGTACTTGTTGTTACCCTGTCTGGCGCTCGGCATTAAGGGGCTAAAACAAGGACTGGTCGGCTCGGAGTCAGTATACTGTGTCTGAGTGGGGTATTCATGTTAAACTGCGGCATGGTATCTCAGTGAGCTAGCACTATAAATCGGCATCAGTCCGGACTAGTACAAGCAGCCACACACACACATACACGTGCATGCACGTCGCTATATAAGTGCAATAATCTTGGACGCGACGTTAAACCCCATTTCACCTCACCTCACCTCACCAGACTCGATTATCTATAGACCGCCGTCATATAGCTGCAATATTGCTGAGTGCGGCGTTAAACAACAAACCAACCAACCAACCATATATACCCTGATTTGAGAATAACATACTTATATTAATTGGGTGATTGGCTTCTCTCGTTATCCCCAGTGACCACATTGTCGCATCACATGTTCCCACATTAACCTTAAGATTAATTACAAATTGAAAGAATACTCTCTCTCAACAAAATATAAACAAACACCTGTGCATTCAAAAGGCCATTCAAAATGTGTGATGATGTTACAGAAATTATTATTTTGTTTAACTTGATTTCCTTTCACCTTTCTTCTTTCAATAATTGTACAAGGGTCTAGAGGCCTTTGGTCAGCCCCGGGATCTAGAATCCCCAGTAGGTTTAAGAATCTAGAGGCCTTTGACCAGCTCAAGGATCTAGAAACCAAAGTAGGTTCAAATATCTAGAGGCCTTTGGTCAGCTCAAGGCTCTAGAAACCCCATTAGGTTTAAGGATCTAGAGGCCTTTGGTCAGCCCAGGGATCTAGAAACCCAAGTAGGTTCAAAGATCTAGAGGCCTTTGACAAGCTCTAGGATCTAGAAACTCCCAGTAGATTCAAGGATCTAAAGGCCTTTTGCCAGCTCAAGGATCTAGAAACCCCAGT